GTTTATCGGCGGAATTTTTGGCCGATAAATGAAAAATCGGTCGGCCCCCCGTTGCCGATGCTGCCACCCATGTCCACGAAAAACGGACGTTTTCCGTGGATTTTCCAGCATGACCGATAAAAATAAATGAGGAGATCCACGAAAAATGACCAACGGGCTGGCCCCACTAACGGCGTGATTATCGGCCGATTGTTTGTGCGGACGAAAATTTGGCCAATAAACGACCTAGCTATGGCCTGCATTAGGATATAAAGGTCAAGGGCCAGGAATGTTGTGTGGAGGCCTCAGGTATGGAGAGGGCCATGTGGAGGGATCATGTGAGCAGGGGCGGACTGACCATTTGGAAACTCTGGCACTGCCCGAGGGCCCGGGGCCAGTAGGGGGCCCCATGAGATGCCCCTGGTACCTTTTTCATAGGCTTTTTGAGTTTGGGCAAGAACACAGGGGCCCCATGATCCCCTATTGCCTGGGGGCCCCATGAGTTGTCAGTCCGCCCCTGCATCTGAGTGTTTTCCTCAGTGTTTTTGCAGAAACACAGTACAGTCCATTTACAATGATTTCCTATGGGACACGTTCACATCTCAGCATGTTTTTTGGAAAGGGTTGGGGACTTTTTTTAATGCAAAATTTGCGTTTTTTGGTTCTATAGACCTCAAAGGAAAATTTTTGTGTGTTTTTGATGATGCGTTTTAATTCTGCCTAGCAACAAGAAAAAATGTAAAAAAAACTGCAAAAATGCCAGTGCAAAAACGCAATGCAGAAGCGGATCAAACGCAAACTGCATAGGTGTGAACATAGCCTTAAGCCGGCAATACGCGGGTCGAACTCTGAAAGAATTTTCTTTCGTAATTCTTTTCTAAGAATTTTTGTTTTAAATTTCGCACCATTAGTGGGTCATGGAAATGTGACCATCGAATTTGAGTGGTCCGGCATGTTGGAAATCTTTTGAAAAACAAATGAATTTCGAATCAATGATGAGAGAATCGTGCAAGAAATATAACCGAAAAAAAAAATGGAGTGTGAGCCGTGACCTGGAATGAAAAGAAAATTCTTGACCACGAAAATCCTTTTCTGTAGCAACTTGAGGATAAAATGAAGGCTTGGTTTCAAAATCAATGGTGGTGTCATCGGATTACAAAATTCACAAAGTTTCCGATTTTCTAAAGGAAATGTGTTCGGAATTCGACCTGTGCATGGCTGGCTTTATGCAGGCCATAGATGGGTCGAAAATCAGCCGATTTTCGCACCGTTAATGGGTTAATTGGTCGGCCGTTTTTCTGGATTTTAGCATTTTTTTTTATCGGTAAAGTTGGATAAAATTTTGCCGATCAGCCGATTTTTTGCAGCAGTGATGGGCAAATCTGCGCATGAGCCGTGGCCTGCGAGAAGAAGAAGAAGAATTCCAGTCGCTATTATATTTGACATGAAAAGTACTGCTGTTGCAACAATGTATCTATTTGTATCTGAATAAAAACCATCTGTATCCAAAATGGATACATTGTTGCAATCGCAAGACTTTTTAATGTCAAATATAATAGCGGAGCTCTCTGCAGGGACAGAAGTAATTAAATGCCGGCCGTAGACAGGACGAAAATCGGTCGATTTTTTTTACCGTTGGTGGTAACGTCGGCCTATTGAAAGACCGATTTTTTCGTTTTGTTTTTTTTTAAAAAACGCCGGTTTTTGACCCGTCTATGGCCTGCATTGCAGGCAGTTGTGGCACTCAGTGCTCTGCCTTGTCATAGAGATCCAGTACCTGCAGACATGTATGAATGTCCCTTCTCCAGCTGTAATCCATCAGCTCGTCATAGATCCCATTCCTATACAGTTGCAAGAAAAAGTATGTGAACCCCTTGGGATTACGTGGAGTTTTTGCATGAATTGGGCATAAAATGTGCTCTGAACATCATCTAAGTCACAACAATAGAAGAACACAGTCTGCTGAACATAATACTACACAAACATTAGATGTTGCCATGGTTTAATTGCACATAACATGTAAACATTCACAGTGCAGGGAGGAAAAAGTATGTGAGGCCCTAGCTTAATGACTTCTCCCAGAGCTAATTGGAGCCAGGAGTGAGCCAACCTTGACTCCAATCAGTGTGATGATATTGGATGTGTTGCTGACAGCTGTCCTGCCCTTAAAAAACACACACCTTTTTTGGGTTTACTGGTTTCAAGAAGCACTGTCTGATGTGAACCATGCCTCGCAGAAAAGAGCTCTCAGAAGACCTACGATCAAGAATTGTTGACTTGCATGAAGCTGGAAAGGGTTACAAAAGTATCTCCAAAAGCCTTGATGTTCATGTGTCCACGGGAAGACAGACTGTCTACAAATGGAGAAAGTTTAGCACTGTTGCTACTCTCCCTAGGCATGGGCGTCCTGTAAAAATGACTGCAAGAGCACAGCGCAGAATGCTGCATGAGGTAAAGAAGAATCCCAGAGTGTCAGCTAAAGACCTACAGAAATCTCTGGCACATGCTAACATTTTTGTTGACACATCTACAATAAGGAAAACATTAAACAAGAATGGAGTACATGGGAGGACACCACGGAGGAAGCCATTGCTGTCCAAAAAGAATATTGCAGCACGTTTGAAGTTTGCAAAAGAGCACCTGGATGTTCCACAGCACTACTGGCAAAATATACTGAGGACAGATGAAACCAAGATTGAGTTGTTTGGGAAGAACACACAACACTATGTGTGGAGAAAAAAAGGCCCAGCACACCAACATCAAAACCTCATCCCCACTGTGAAACATGGCGGAGGGAGCATCATGGTTTGGGCTGCTTTGCTGCCTCGGGGCTGGATGGATTGTTGTCATTGATGGGAAAATGAATTCCAGAGTTTATCAAGACATTTTGCAGGAAAACGTACGACCATCTGTCCGCCAACTGAAGCTCCGCAGAGGATGGGTGATGCAACAGGACAATGACCCAAAGCATACAAGTCATTCAACAAAACAATGGCTGCAACAGCACAGAATACGCCTTCTGGAGTGGCCCAGTCAGAGTCCTGACCTCAACCCGATTGAAATGCTGGGGCATGACCTTAAGAGAGCGATTCACACCAAACATCCCAAGAATATTGCTACACTGAAACAGTTTTGTGAAGAAGAGTGGTCCAAAATTACTCCAGATCGTTGTGCAGGTCTGATCTGCAACTACAGGAAATGTTTGGTTGAGGTTATTGCTGCCAAAGGAGGGTCAACCAGTTATTAAGTCCAAATGTTCACATACTTTTTCCTCCCTGCACTGTGAATGTTTACATGTTATGTGCAATTAAACCATGGCAACATCTAATGTTTGTGTAGTATTATGTTCAGCAGACTGTGTTCTTCTATTGTTGTGACTTAGATGACGTTCAGAGCACATTTTATGCCCAATTCATGCAAAACTCCACGTAATCCCAAGGGGTTCACATACTTTTTCTTGCAACTGTATCACCCTCGGTTCACATCTGTGCGGGTGGTGCCGCTGCGGATCCGCATGAAAATCCGTGCAGCCGCACCACCCACACCGAGGAATGCGGACCCGCGGGTGGGTGACATTAGTTCTAATGGCACACCGCCTGCACTGGAAAACGCAGCCGTACTGGGAACCTCAGCTGCGTTTTCAAAAGAAGTGCAGGGACTTCTTCCCTGCGTGTCACGGGGGACGGGAGTCCATTCAAATGAATGGGCTCTCGTACCCATGCAAAACGCGGCCCGCACGGCCACATAGATGTGAACCGGGGGTAAGGCCGCATTCACACGCATGTCCTGTGCAGGGCCGTCCTCTACCAGCACGGGATGCACAGGTGTTGCATGCATCCCTATACTGGAGTCTCGTAGATGTCTGTTGGGACAAGCGGCTACACGGATAAAAGCTGCTGTGTCTAAATGTGACATCCATGTGGGTGCATGTCCCTGAACTCACTCTGGGTGCAGGCTGTATTTGCATTGGGATCACCCTGGGTAAAGTCCACATACTATGCTGAGGCCACCCTGCGTATGCCCACACATGATGCTGAGCCTCCATGATTGAAAGAAATGAAATCCAGTGAATGAAAGCGGTGTGCTAGGGATGGTAAGGCTGGGGAGGGAAAAGCTAGATGATGATGGATGTCCTCCAGCCAGAAAATGAGGCAGGCTCAGGCTGACTTTCTGCAGCTTCTAATGCACATTGTGAGAGGCTGACAGTGTGCAGTGAAATCAGAGTCTTTGCTTCCAGAATGCTCAGATGGATTTCAGTATGCTCAGTCAGTGGAGTCAACATGGAGTCAGGGGTGGACTGACCATTTGGAAACCCAGGCACCCAGGGGCGGACTGACCATTTGGAAACTCGGGCGCGCTGCCCAAGGGCCCGGGGTCAGTAGGGGGCCCCATGAGATGCCCCTGGTACCTTTTTCATAGGCTTTTTTGAGTTTGGGCCAGGACACAGGGGTCCCATGATCCCCTATTGCCAGGGGGCCCATGAGTTGTCAGTCCGCCCCTGCATGGAGTCTATTGTTTTCAGCCTGACAGGCTCTGATAGGCTAGCAGTTAGGTAACAAGATAAACAAGTCGGAAGAAAGCAGAGACTGCGCGGAGGTAACACAACCTCCTTCATGCGGCAGAGATGACATCATTGACCTACTATGGCCATTTAACCACATTAACCTCCCCGGCGGTCTGATTATGTCAGCATTTTGGATGTCACAGCGGTACATTTGTTCTGCATGGAAATGTGTTGTTTTATATTGTCGGCCTGTAATTCTTAGGAATAACTCACTGAAATCTGTCCGAACAAGAGTCTAGTACACATCCCGGGTATGATAAAGTCTGAAACAAGAAATCATAAATTACCGTATTTTTCGCACCATAAGACGCACTTTTTTCCCCCACCAAAAAAAGGGGGGAAAATGTTAGTGCGTCGTTTGGAACAAATATGGAGCAGCCGGTCTGGTATTTCCACCCCCACTACCATGTCGGAATACCGGGCCGGCCACTCAGTTCTTCCCTGCAGCAGAACCTTACCTGTTCCTCGGTCCAGCGCTGTACAGTCTTCCCGCGCTGGCATCTTCAGTGTGGGCACCCGGCTGTGCTTTGTGACTGGTCTGGCGTCTTCTGGGACACATGACAGGTCCCAGAAGATGCCAGACCATTCACAAAGCACAGCGCTTCTCGTGCATGGGCACTGGGCACCCGGCTGTCAGCTGGGTGCCCACACTAAAGGGAGGACAACTCCATGGAAGTGGGAGCGGGGTAACTGTCAAATTCTAGTCCCCCTCCCCAAAGGTCTGCAGTCTCTGGTCATCTCCTGTACTGTGTCCGCAGTCTCTGGTCATCCCCTGTACTGTGTCCGCAGTCTCCGGTCATCTCCTGTGCCGTGTCCGCAGTCTCTGGTCATCTGTACTGTGTCTGCAGTCTCTGGTCATCTCCTGTACTGTGTCCGCAGTCTCTGGTCATCTCTCCTGTACTGTGTCCGCAGTCTCTGGTCATCTCCTGTACTGTGTCCGCAGTCTCTGGTCATCCCCTGTACCATGTCCGCAGTCTCTGGTCATCTCCTGTACTATTGTCCGCAGTCTCTGGTCATCTCCTGTACTGTGTCCGCAGTCTCCGGTCATCTCCTGTGCCGTGTCCGCAGTCTCTGGTCATCTGTACTGTGTCCGCAGTGTCTGGTCGTCTCCTGTACTGTGTCCGCAGTCTCTGGTCATCTCCTGTACTGTGTCCGCAGTCTCCGGTCATCTCCTGTACTGTGTCCGCAGTCTCCGGTCATCTCCTGTACTGTGTCCGCAGTCTCCGGTCATCTCCTGTACTGTGTCCGCAGTCTCTGGTCATCTCCTGTACTGTGTCTGCAGTCTCCGGTCATCTCCTGTACTGTGTCCGCAGTCTCTGGTCATCTCCTGTACTATGTCCGCAGTCTCCGGTCATCTCTTGTACTGTGTCCGCAGTCTCTGGTCATCTTCTGTACTATGTCTGCAGTCTCCGGTCATCTTCCTGTGCTGTGTCCGCAGTCTCTGGTCATCTCCTGTACTATGTCCGCAGTCTCTGGTCATCTCCTGTACTATGTCCGCAGTCTCCGGTCATCCCCTGTGCCGTGTCCGCAGTCTCCGGTCATCCCCTGTACTGTGTCCGCAGTCTCTGGTCATCTCCTGTACTGTGTCCGCAGTCTCTGGTCATCTCCTGTACTGTGTCTGCAGTCTCTGGTCATCTCCTGTACTGTGTCCGCAGTCTCTGGTCATCTCCTGTACTGTGTCCGCAGTCTCTGGTCATCTCCTGTACTATGTCCGCAGTCTCTGGTCATCTCCTGTACTGTGTCCGCAGTCTCTGGTCATCTCCTGTACTGTGTCCGCAGTCTATGGTAATCCCCTGTACTGTGTCCGCAGTCTCTGGTCATCTCCTGTACTGTGTCCGCAGTCTCCGGTCATCTCCTGAACTGTGTCCGCAGTCTCTGGTCATCTCCTGTACTGTGTCCGCAGTCGAGTCTGGTCATCTCCTGCACTGTGTCTGCAGTCTCTGGTCATCTCCTGTATATGTGTCCGCAGTCTCGGTCATCTCCTGAACTATGTCTGCAGTCTATTGGTTCAGAATATTTTTTTTCTTGTTTTACTCCTCTAAAACCTAGGCGCATCTTATTGAGCGAAAATACGGTATAATATAATCAATACTTATAAAAAAATAATAATATAATAAGCAATTTAATGCAATAATGTAATCAAACCAAAAACACTGAAATGTGTCCAAACAAGGGTGCAATATTACTAGACCCTGCCTATTTATTTAGTAAACCTCCCGGGTATGAAACATGGAACTGCACAAAGTCCAACGTCACAATCAGGACAATGGAACCTGGTTTCCTTTCTGATTTTCTTTCCACGTCATCTCGCTTTGAGCATCAAACCACACACATCCGTGTAGGTGCTGACTTTCTCTGTTGGTGGGATGTAGTCCACGAAGTGTGCGACCAGCCAGGCGTTCTGGGTTGACAACGCCAACAGCACGACGACCTCAATTCACAGCCTTTGATGGTGTTTGGTGGTTCACAAAGATTCCTTCGGCAATTTTCCAAATAAATCGGAATGAATCACAGGCAGGGGTGGACTGACCATTCGAGCACTCGGGCTCTGCCGAGGGCCTGGGTCAGTAGGAGGCCCCATGAGATGTCCCTGGTACCTTTCATTAAGCTTTTTTGGGAGTGGTTTGAGTGTGGGCGATGACACAGGGGCCCCCATGATCCCCTATTTCCTGGGGGCCCCATGAGTTGACAGTCCGCCCCTGATCACAGGCTTGTCTCTTTTTTTTTTTAGCAGAATGTAGGAATTTTACAAGCATTGCTCAAGAAGACGCCTGAAGATCTTCTTGTAGTACTTCTTTTGCTGTTTCCTCATTGCTGGGTAGAATGTCATTGCTGGGTCAGCTCTGTTGTCACCTCCAATGGTGTCATTGTAGTCTATCACTACTTGTGGCTTCATGATTCCTTTCCCACCTTTTGTGTGTACCATAACAGTGAAGGTATTATGAATCATACTCATTAGGCACACATCTTTCTTGTCACGCCATTGCAGTGCCATCATTTTGCCTTTCAGCCAGGCAACCATTTCTCCAGTCTTCAGCTTCCTATTGCCAAACATTGGCGGCATGTCGCGCCGGTTAGCCCTAACGGTCCCATAGGCATCGATTTTGTTTTGCAGAAGAAACTCATAAAGTTCAGAAGACGTATAAAAGTTGTCGGTTGTTACTATGTGTCCATGTTCTCTTTTGGAGAGACGGGGTAAATCGGAAAGGTGGTGGTGTCATAGATGTGAGAAGTGATCTCAGAGCAAACATGAAAGAGTACCTACATATGCAAGAAAAAGTATGTGAACCCCTTGGGATTACGTGGAGTTTTGCATGAATTGGGCATAAAATGTGCTCTGAACGTCATCTAAGTCACAACAATAGAAGAACACAGTCTGCTGAACATAATACTACACAAACATTACATGTTGCCATGGTTTAATTGCACATAACATGTAAACATTCACAGTGCAGGGAGGAAAAAAAAGTATGTGACCCTTTGGACTTAATAACTGGTTGACCCTCCTTTGGCGGCAATAACCTCAACCAAACGTTTCCTGTAGTTGCAGATCAGACCTGCACAACGATCTGGAGTCATTTTGGACCACTCCTCTTCACAAAACTGTTTCAGTGTAGCAATATTCTTGGGATGTCTGGTGTGAATCGCTCTCTTAAGGTCATGCCACAGCATTTCAATCGGGTTGAGGTCAGGACTCTGACTGGGCCACTCCAGAAGGCGTATTCTGTGCTGTTGCAGCCATTGTTTTGTTGAATTACTGGTATGCTTTGGGTCATTGTCCTGTTGCATCACCCATCCTCTGCGGGGCTTCAGTTGGCAGACAGATGGTCGTACGTTTTCCTGCAAAATGTCTTGATAAACTCTGGAATTCATTTTCCCATCAATGACAACAATCCGTCCAGGCCCTGAGGCAGCAAAGCAGCCCCAAACCATGATGCTCCCTCCGCCATGTTTCACAGTGGGGATGAGGTTTTGATGTTGGTGTGCTGTGCCTTTTTTTCTCCACACATAGTGTTGTGTGTTCTTCCCAAACAACTCAATCTTGGTTTCATCTGTCCACAGTATATTCTGCCAGTAGTGCTGTGGAACATCCAGGTGCTCTTCTGCAAACTTCAAACGTGCTGCAATATTCTTTTTGGACAGCAATGGCGTCCTCCGTGGTGTCCTCCCATGTACTCCATTCTTGTTTAATGTTTTCCTTATTGTAGATGTGTCAACAAAAATGTTAGCATGTGCCAGAGATTTCTGTAGGTCTTTAGCTGACACTCTGGGATTCTTCTTTACCTCATGCAGCATTCTGCGCTGTGCTCTTGCAGTCATTTTTACAGGACGACCACGCCTAGGGAGAGTAGCAACAGTGCAAAACTTTCTCCATTTGTAGACAGTCTGTCTTCCCGTGGACACTATGAACATCAAGGCTTTTGGAGATACTTTTGTAACCCTTTCCAGCTTCATGCAAGTCAACAATTCTTGATCGTAGGTCTTCTGAGAGCTCTTTTTTGCGAGGCAAGGTTCACATCAGACAGTGCTTCTTGAAACCAGTAAACCCAAAACAGGTGTGTGTTTTTTGAGGGCAGGACAGCTGTCAGCAACACATCCAATATCATCACACTGATTGGAGTCAAGGTTGGCTCACTCCTGGCTCCAATTAGCTCTGGGAGAAGTCATTAAGCTAGGGCCTCACATACTTTTTCCTCCCTGCACTGTGAATGTTTACATGTTATGTGCAATTAAACCATGGCAACATGTAATGTTTGTGTAGTATTATGTTCAGCAGACTGTGTTCTTCTATTGTTGTGACTTAGATGACGTTCAGAGCACATTTTATGCCCAATTCATGCAAAACTCCACGTAATCCCAAGGGGTTCACATACTTTTTCTTGCAACTGTATTCACGTGGGCAACAAAGGCTAAAAATCAAACCTATGTGGCTTACGGCCAAAGTTACAAAAGCTATAGATAATAAGAAAAGAGCTTTTATTAAATATAAAAATGAAGGAACGCGATCATTGTTTACACATTACAAAGACTATAACAGAATATGCAAAAAGGCAATAAAGGCGCAAAAATTGGAAATGAATGACAGATTGCAGAAGATAGCAGAACCAACCCCAAAATTCCTCCAATCTATGAATAGTAGAAAGGTCCGGTCCGAGCATGTAGGCCCTTTACAGAACCATCTAGAGGGGGTGACTGGGGACAAAGAGAAGGCCAATGTATGAAATCCTTTCTTCAGCTCTGTGTATACAAAGGAGCATGGGGGGGCTCTTGTTCATAATGGGGCGTGGTACTGACACAGCTCCAGATGGTCCACATTGGCACGATCCAAAAATATTTAGGACAGAAAAAAGGTGAATAAAGCACCTGACCGGAGTATGACCAGTTACTTCCCAAATTTTCTTTAGTTTTGGTACAGGAGGAGTAGTTTCATCAAATTCTTCGTTGTTTTCGAAGTGTAAAAAAATTTCATGATCAGGGAAAATCTGTACTCTGACATGACCGTGCCAAAGAATAGAGTGGCAAGCAGGGGTGGACTGACAACAGTGGACTGACAACTCATGGAGCCCCCGGGCAATAGGGGATCATGGGGCCCCTGTGTCCTCGCCCACACTCAAACCACACCCAAAAAAGCCTATGAAAGGTACCAGGGGCATCTCATGGGGCCCCCTTCTGACCCTGGGTCCCTCGGGCAATGCCCAAGTGCTCAAATGGTCAAAAGGTGAATAAAGCACCTGATCGGATGACCAGTTACTTCCCAAATTTTCTTTAGTTTTGGTACCGGAGGAGTAGTTTCATCAAATTCTTCGTTGTTTTCGAAGTGTAAAAAATTTCATGATCAGGGAAAATCTGTACTCTGACATGACCGTGCCAAAGAATAGAGTGGCAAGCAGGGGTGGACTGACAACAGGGGACTGACAACTCATGGAGCCCCCGGGCAATAGGGGATCATGGGGCCCCTGTGTCCTCGCCCACACTCAAACCACACCCAAAAAAGCCTATGAAAGGTACCAGGGGCATCTCATGGGGCCCCCTTCTGACCCTGGGTCCCTCGGGCAGTGCCCAAGTGCTCAAATGGTCAGTCCGCCCCTGGTGGCAAGTAATTTATTGGTTGTCCAATACCACTTCT